AGAATAATGACAGGAGTACAAATATATAAGACCATACCTGAGCTTCAAAATCTGCACAGTATATCTGCTCTCTGTTACTGATTGTTTTTCTTATTTGTATCCTTCTTTAGCCATTAAAAACTTTGATTTTTAAGCAGCAAAGTAGCTATGAGCCTATTAGTGTAGAGCAGGAATTTGTGATAATCTTAAACCACTTTCAGACCACTGAAGATGGAAAGAAAGCAGGTTCACTTGCAACTGGAGCTTTGGGTAAGGAGTTTCTTTAGGAAAGTCTTGCTGGCCAGTGTTTACAAGGCACAGGGATCACAGGCTGATCTGGCATTGCACTCTTGTCATCCTCAAAGGTACTGTAAGAAAATGCAGCAGAAAAGGGTATACTATTTAAATTTACAGCAGTAACAGCAGTAAAATGTTTTAATGTCCCCACGAACCAGCTTCTTAATATCCTGCCAATGCCACTTCTCTCACACCCCTGCTGTAACCGAGAGGAGCAACCAGAGAGGCACAGATTTCTACAGCAAAGCTGGCCAAGGACGTGTTTTCCCCCAGCCAAATCCCACCTCCTTCTTGCAGTTCATCACCCCTCAGCTGTGTTGATACAAGAGTTTATTATTAACATTATTTTCAGATGGTTCACTTGAGGAATCCAGGCCAGGGCTCAGCCCCACAGTCCTGGTGGCACAAGCGAGGCGTGTCGGCCGTGGGGCTGGGATGGGATGGGATGTGCAGCTGGGAGCAGGGACTGGTGAGGCTGGGCTTGCTGTGTGCCAGGGAGCAGTGCAGTCACCCAGCTCTCACTGCTGTCCTGCATGGCAATGAGTGTGTGTGCTTTCCTAGGGAGCTGGGTGCACAGTGAGCTCCTGAGGTTATTCATGGCACAGCATTCCCTGGGAGAATGTGCTAATTCGAATGTTCCTCTCACAGTATGGAGGAGCTGGAATCAGTGCTGGGAAATATAAAACTTGTGACACGCTGTGATAATGGGGGCATTTAACACAGACCATTGAGAAATCATCACCAGGGGAATCAAACAAGAAAAACTTACGAGGTGACTTTCCATAGGTTTTTATTTTCCTTTTGTTCTTCTTTATAGGGTGAATGAATGGGGATGGTGGCTCAATTTCTGGCTCATAAAACATCATTTTAACAGTGATCTCACTAAAACACTGTTGAACCTCATTTTGCCCAAGTTGACTTCTTGTCAAAAGTTTGACTTTTGCAAATTGACTTCAATTTGCATGCTTTTGGAGAAGCTTATGCTAGGTAGAAGCAGAGCATTTATTGTCTCCAGATGGCAGCTGTTTTGATATATGAAGGTCACATCATTTTAGATCCATTTGTTTTGTATCCATAGACAAACTGGTTGAGATTTGGGGCTGCTTGGAATCAGAATGAATGGATAATGAATAATGGAACCTCAGTTTCCATGCAGGAAAAGTAGTCTGTGAGCTACTAAGAGTACTCCTATGGATCAACAAATTGGCCAATGCCAGCAAGCACTTTTTTAATCAGGGGAAAAAAAAATGCATAACTGCTATAAAAATTACCATCAGAGGGAGGAAGGAAGTAACTTCACAAGAAGAATACTGATAAATGTGTTCTTCCCAACAAAAATTGTAGAGATAAGCCCATTAACTGCCTTCTGTTTCTGCTTTTCTTTGTATTAATTTTCTCTTTCTTAGTTGAAAATTTAGGAGAACATTTAATCTCTTGCAAATTATGTAGAATTTTATGCCTATTTGTCTAGTTCCTTCCATTAGAAAGAATAGAAAGAACTTTTGGCACTTATGTCATTAATCCTGGGCTTCTAGGCTTGATTTGACTATTGTGAATAGAATAACTTCCAGAATCTATTTGAAAATGTACATATCCATGCTTTTTTTGAGCAGAAAAATTGCTCAGCTTTCTGACAAATGGTGTGCATAGCATCCAGCTTCAATCTCACAGGTGGAACATGGGGACTTAAAGTGACAGAATCAAAGCCCAGGAGAAAAGAGCAGAACAAGGTTGGATTCTCAGAACTGACTAATGATAAGAGCAGCCTAGAAAGAGATCTGGCTTTCAGCTAGCTTTGAATGTCTAACCTCTGAAGATTTAGAAGCATTTAATGTGTCTCAAACCTGAGCCAAAATTATCTTTAGTCTGAAGTTTGCTCATTGACTGTTCTCCTCTCTTTGGGCTGGTGACTTCATTTGTCCCCCAGGTCCTTTAACAATGCATTTCCCTATCGTGCCTGTGGTCCTTTCATCTCGCCTCATTTCCTGAGAGTGCCAAACTACTTGGAATTCCTTTCTTTTTCCTAATTTGAGAGTTCAAAGTATGGATTTGTAGCAAATTATTCCTGATGAGTGGTTTCATTAAAAGAACAGAAGGGAAATTGTTCTAAAAACTTTCAATGTTGAAAAGGGGAGGGATAGTGAAATAAAGTACAGCCTCACACAACACTGAAAACTCCAGAGTTGTAATGCGTTGTTTTCTGTAGAGTTAAGGTGATGGTTTGGACATGCTGCTACACCTTTTCTTTGCTGAAATTAAGATGAGCTCCACTACTAAACTGAGTGCCCTTCCCTCTTCACAGAGGGGATTTTCCAGCATGGGAATAACAGTTCAGTACAAATGGGACAATTTCTCCACAAAGATCATAGACACAGAGCCAGAATTTTAGTGCATCTCAAGCCTAAGAGATTCATTAAGAGATGATAAGAAAATGCAATGTTTTCATGCATGTTGAGTTGTTGAACAGTTTTACCCAAGATAACTGGGGAATTGTAGCTGTACACCAATCAATAAACAGAGTGGGACTTCCTCAGCCTGTGATGCCATCAGCTATTGTCTTGATGAAGGACACATAGTCTTGTGAAGATTTTCAAATTATTATTTAGACAGGGTCAGATCAATTCTACTGTGTCAAGAAGGTAAGACTAAACTGGGTGTGTAAAGCTTAGAAGAAAGGAGAGAACCTATCTGTCACTGGGTCAGACTCTGAGTGCTGTTAATAATGGATTTTCATGAGTTAACCTTTTATCTTGTCCTTTTCAAAATGCTGTCACATAACATGAGTTATGATAATTTTCCTAAAGTAGTTGCAGTGAACACCAAAGAGAATTGTGCTCTTTGTTTGGACTATCATTTTAGAGCACACTTTAACTGCATCCTCTGTAGGACATAGCCACTCTGGGAATCTTTTAGAGACACAATTCACAGCAGACAAACCTCTTTTGTGTAGTCATGCAAAGTGAAATAAAACAAGGTAAGACTGAAGGTGCCAGTCGACTTTAAATGTATCTGAATTCTTTCTCCCAGGAGAAGAAGGCAGTGGCTCTAATCTTGCTGTGGCTTGTACAACACTTACAACACTGATTAACACTTGTTCACGTTCTGCCTGATTTCAGTGGAAATTCAATGGGACTTCTGGGAATTCTGAAACCCTCAGATGAGGAATTCATGGAGGGTTACCTGCTACAAGGAAAAGACAGCTAGCTCAGGCAGCATTGCTTCAGCACAGAAACACAACATGGCCCAGCCTGGCTTTGGCTGCAGCCCTGTGGTTTGTGTTCCTCTGAAGGGCACAGTAGGAATCTGAACCCTCTGGGGCCTAATCTCTGGGTTTCCCACATTTTTCAGAAATGGGAATTAGTCAATGGAGGCAGCACGAGCTCAGCACCCCAGCCCAGCAGTGTTTTCCACCAAGAGCCTGGGCAGAGCTGAGGTGTTTTCCCATCTAACCCTGGAGAATGATACACTTCAGGTTGGAGCCCATCTCCAACCTTCTGCCCTTCTGCTCCAGGGAGATTTTCCAGCCTGTGAAAGTGCTTAATGAGCTCTGGAGCCCAGGAAGAAGGTGCTCACTGAATTAAATCATCTTTGGGACTATGCAGTGTGGAGAGTAAACACTGTACATCACCATCTGAGAGGCTGGCTTCTAACTTCAATTTAATCCCTATTTAGACTGCTTGAATCTTTATGTTCTCATCCATAAAATGGATTTAACAGCATTTTCCTGCCTTTCAAGGCAGCTGGGTAAGCACACAAAGATATGTGCCTTAGCACTAATGAGCTCTTATGAGTACTGTAAATGAGAATCATCTAGATTAAAATGATACAGGGGCTTTTCTTTATTTTGCTGAAAATAACTCAATCTCTAAGGTCACTTATAAGGTGTTTTTTTTTCCAGTGGAAACTTTTATAATTTGTGTAGGAAAGAATGAGACCAGAATCCATCAAATGTAAGGGTGCATGTATAAATATGCATAGAGCAGTCCAACATTTTCACCCTGAGGAACTACTCTATAAAATATTTTATTGTATTTTATTTTGTTTTATTTTATATTTTATTTTTTTCACAGAAAATGTGTCTAGTAGAGTCAGCTGCACTGCAGAGAGCCCTGATGCCTCAGATTGCTTTCTTTGGGCTTTGGATTCCAAAAGTGATGGAGCAATTCCACAGAAAGGGAAGGTTGAATGAGAGAAAAAAAAAAATTAAAATCTGCATTTCATATACAGATTATTTAATCCAAACCCACCAATTATTACACTATGGTATGTGCTTGTAGACTTTGACTGGTATGAAACATGGCCACATCTACATTTTGGACAGAATATATTTGCTATACAGACAGGGCAAGCATGAGTTTGAGCTGCACACGTAAGAGCAGAGGTGCAGAGGAGCCATTCCTCTCACACCTGCTTTGTCTTTTGCCCTTCCTCATGTGTATCCCTTGCCATGTTTGTGTCTGCTGAAAGGAATCCCTTTCTCATTTGTGGCAGGATCAGAAAGCCCTAACATCAAGAAAGAGAGTAGTAGTGGCATGGTGTAAAATGACTTGAACTTTAAATTGTTACTCAGGCTTAAATCCAACAGACTTCACTGCTTGAAATTAGAAAATAAACATAGTACTCTCTTTTCTTGGGTTGGTTTTTGTTTGTTTGTCTGTTTTGTTTTGTTCTGGGTTTTGTTGTTGTTTTGTTGATTTGAGTTTTGTTTGGTCTTTTTTCCTCAGGTGCTTGAAATAAGATCCTTTGGAGCATCCTCTGCTATTTATCACAAAAACAGCTGCAGAGCTGAAACATGAGATGTAGAAGGCAAAATGAATAAAGATTGTCATCCTTTCTGGTTTGTCTCTTCCTGCGGGATTTCTGAGGTTCCCTTGCAGAGATACCAATCTTGTGTGATTACAGTGAGCATGATTACGTCTGGATGTTTAGCACCAATTTCCAAGCTGAAGACTGTAATTTTATTGTGTATTATTTATAAAGTTCCTGCTAGGCCTAAAGCTTGCTTCAGGAGAGATCACTGTCGAATATTTGAGCTGAACCTGTCTCATTCCACTTAACAAACCACTTTATCAGCACAGTGTCCACAGTAATGCTGAACACACTTCCCAACAGGTTATATTTCAACTGTTCCATTACTTTATCATCAGACTGGTCCTCCTTGTTGGTAAATCCCTTCTTACACCTTGGACTGAGTGCACCAGCTGACAAGAGGGTCAGGGTTTCCTGCCTGCAGCTGAATGTTTTTTCACCACCAGCATTTCACTCCAAAAACTTTGGACTGTTCTCAGTTTTCAAGTCAGCAACTGGATCATATTTATTTAGAGCTGGCTGTGCAAATGTATTGATTTGTAGTCTGCTATTGTTTTGTGCCTTGTATTTATGTGGCTCTAATGGACTGAAAGTGTTTCAAAACTGAAGGGGATTAAAATATAGAGCTTTTTCTCTGGGTAAGTGTAGGGAATATTATAACTTGAAATCTGTTCTAAAATGTGATTTTACAGCATTTATATACTGTTATTTTAAAGCTAGAGATACTGTGCCATCCAGTAATTGAGTACAAAGCCATGAAAATAGAAAGAAATGAAGGTACAGAGAGGAAACAATGAAGCTGGCAACACAAACCCTTGTCAAATGTGAGGAATGAGCTTTGAAACAAGCTCTGACTTTGCCTCAGCACCACTTGCTTGGTCGAATAATCTCACCCCCCCAGCCAGATGTCACCATATGGCCGGTGACAACTTTCAATTAGAGGCCTATGGTGTTTATCATCTCCTTTTACATATGGATAAAAAGCAGTCCTGTGACCTGCCCATTGCACCCAAGGGGATTGTGCTCCTTCTTTAAAAGATGTGCATGCCAAGACTCACTCCCATCCTTGGTGCTATAAATTTCCAAGCCCAGTTTTAGTGTTTTGAACCTTTGTTCAGCCATGGCCAGCTCTGAAAACTGGACTGAGCCTGCATCTCCAAGCAGTCCCTGGGTACTGAGGGTGCTTTTTGGAGAAGCTTAGGGCTCAGCTCTTGACAGTGCTGAAAATGTCACCGTGCAGTTGGTCTGAGCCTCACAGCTGCCTTGGCTGCCCACTTCTGCAAGGGTCATTTTCAGAGCAAGCCCACACAGATGGGAATGTTGTGTCATGCATCCTGAGTACAGAGCAAGGAGCCCAGTGCACTGTGACAGCACCAGCCACATTTAACAAGGAGTCCTGGCACCCTTCACAAATGAGGGACAGATTTAATGGTCCAATCATCTTCTCATCCTTGAGACTGTGTAATGATTATCCAACAAATTTGATTATAGGAGTTACTATGTGTTTTAAGCTAACTTTTGTGCATGGCTGGGCTTTCCCAGTAATCCTATACAGTATCCAAGGCATCATTCAGTGGCTTCTTGCAAATTCCTGCAAAGCAATTACTGTCTTTTCTACGTATCCAGAAATTGTCAGTTTCAGGTGCAATTAAAGTAAAATTGCTTTCAGTAGGTACTTGGCTATGATGACTTTTGCTGGTCATAATTCTCTCTACACTATGTTGTTTCTTCAGATAAAAATTATATTTCTCTTGTGCCCTGGAATCTCAAGCTCGTTTTTGACCCAAAGTATCCTCAGAGAGTTGTAAAACTAAGATGTTATAACTGCACATTACCTAGTAATGAACATTGTGAGAGTCAGGCCAGGAAGATGAAGACAAGAGGTATGAATTAATGTTTTAATAATCTTCCTCATATCAGTACAAGTCATACAGGCAAGGATCCCAGTAACTGCTGGTGAGCAGTGCAGCTGCTCCAGTATGGTTGGATATTGCTGAGTAACTCTCCAAGGAGATGGTGCTCAGTGTCTGCAGAGACAGATGGTCACCCAGCCACCAACAGAGCTTTGACCTTGTCCCAGCACGCTGGTGCCACTGTGTACTTTGGACAGAACTGCTGTTCACAGTGCCACAGCTTTTGCTGGAGGCATAGGAGCTCATTAATTTATTTTTACTTCCATTTAATCCTAGGCTATGCAAGACATCCTTTTGTACTGATCCAGGCCATCCACCATTTTTATAATGTAAAGCAAAGACTTGCTCCATTTCAGACTAACACAAGATTTGAGTTGAATCTCAGCTGTGAATCATGCCACTTGGTTCTACAGGGGGCTAGGACAGGGAGCTGGTGGAAGCAGCATCTCTCACTGCACCATGCTGGTGTTCCTTCTCCAGTACAAGAGCCAACCAATATGAGACATTTTGCAGACCTGCACAGTGCCAGCCTTCCCACACATCCATGTGTGCTGCCAGTCATGGTCTCCATGGCTGAAACAACCAGAGCAGTGTCTCATTCTTGCATTTTAGAATACAAAGAATTTCCAATGACAGTGCAAAGACTGTGTTTCATCATCCCACAGCAGAAACACCAAACACTACAGAGCTATATCCTAGAGAAATAGGTTTAATAAATTAAGAGGCTGTCTCCTGGCACTGTGCAAGGTGTTGGACTTGCCTGAATCATTCCTTGAACACAGCTTTTCTTGGGGAAAAATACCTTGTCTGGTTTTAAAGATTTTGTTCAGTGGTGGAGAACACAGTACAAATCTTGTTTACTTGTTCCCATGTTTACTTACATTCTCTGTTAAAACTACAACACTTTTCTATGCTGAACTGGTCTAGATTTAACAGCCAGCCAGCCTTGTTAAAGCTTTGTCTATGGATGGAAAAGTTTCTATTTATTTTCTAATTTTCTGTTCCTTGTTAGGTTCCCACAGTCAGTGTTCATGACAGTACACAGTGGGTTTGTGATGAGATTGCACTGCTAGGGATGTACTATTAGCCATGCTTTTCACAGACACTTAGTGTCACCCTTTTGGCTCTTCTTGGAACCATCTCCAATTTTTCAGCACCAGTTTGATAAGATTTACTGAAAAAGGACAGCACAGACCCAGATGGCTTCCCACCCAGTGCATTCAAAAGCGGCAACACTTCCATGTGTGTTACTATAAATACAGCCACAAGCACTTAGAATGATTTAATCTTATATTTTTAAGTACCTGACTGCTGTGAGATGGGTGCAATGCCACAGAAGTAGTGCTCAGAAAAGCCAGTGTGCCTGAGTTGACCCTATTCCTCCATTTGGTTGGTCCAGCAAATATGGTTCAGTACAACAGGGAGTACATTTGCAGTGACTGTACCAGATACAGCTTTCTCAGATATCAATAAACCAAAAAATTTGGAACGGGGGAAATTAGTAGAGAAACTGTTATCAATGCAAGCTCCTTTATTTTATTTAATATACCTTCCTGATCTGTTCTGGGTTCAGAGCTACCTTCCAGTTCGTCAGTCACCATTAGTCCAGCTCCTGGTTGTTGGGTGTTTAAAGAAGTCAGTTAGCCAATAAAAACCTGCGCCAAGCTCCGAACGAGCATCTGGCTGTGGCTGTTTGGCTGTGTCTGTGAGTAATGCCAAGCTGCAGGAGAGCCAAGCCAGTATTCAGACATCAGTTTTTTGGAAATGGGATTTGTTGTGTTATTTATCTTCTGTATTAACGGAGAGGGCCTGGCTTTTGTTTTTTAACCTTGTTGTTTCAATGCCAGAACAGTAGAAATATAACCCAAGTTAAAACAATAGCTCTTAAAAGATGTAATATTTTCTTTCATCCCCTGTTTAGTAAGCAGCCTTGGCAGTGTCATTTCATTTAAAGAACTGCAAAGTCACAAGGTCCAGAAATACAGTAATTCCAGGAATGACAAAGAAAAAATGACCTGCTTTGTCTTTTTATTGAGTATAACTGTGGTGAAAAAGGCCATTCTGCATCCTCAGCCATAACTAGTTAATTACTTTCTGTTGTTTTTTGTAGATGTTTCTAACCAACATTAAGTAAAATGTACATTGTGGAACAAACCATCCATACAGTATATGCCATAATTACTGTTTAGCAATTTCACACTAGCAAAAATTTATTAAAACTTCACGACTCATTAATAGTAAGTGATCATAATCGCTTAATAGAAAAGGAAACTCAGCTAATGATAGAAGTGCTGATTAATGTTTTTGACCTTAAGACAGGAAGTCAAGTGAAATTAATGTCATTGGGTGTTGAAAGTTAAGTTATTGTCAAGTGTAGATAGCCTCTAATCAAAAGAGAAATCCCACAGCTTCACAAATTTTGTGTTTTTCATGAGAAAACTATTGCTTTTCTATACTCTGTGGCTTTTTTAAAAATCTCACTGCCACGTTTCAAGTAACAAGATTGACCCATTTATTACAAAAGTCAGTTAAAAAAGGAAGATATATATATATATGTATATATAGTAATTTCAGGAGGCGATCTTACAGAAATACTTAACATGCTGGCCATACTTAACCAAGCAGCATTATATATAGCTATTTATTTTTGGTCAACAGCATTCCTTTTATGAGCTCAGGTTAAACATTTTTGAAGAGAGTAGCAGCCCAGCTGACCAGTCAGTTGCCTCATCACACATCAGATGCCTGTGCAGCTCTGGAGCTGACAGGACCACTGTCCTTGCAGCCAGCTGTGTGCCTGGAAAGCATCAGCCTCAGCTTTGCATCTGCCTGCTTGTGATGCCCACTGGGGCTCCTGCAAGTGGTGGCATTTGGGGAGCAGCAGGCACTAGACTGCAGCAGGAGGTCTTGTGGCCAACCTCAGGCCAGATTAATGTGGCAGCAGCACATCTGTGCAAGGGTCCCAATCCCTGAGGTAACTCAGGTACTGGGTTGTAAATGGAGATGACTTCTACTTCAGCTGTAAATATTTCTTATGTGTGCTCTTTTTTCATTTCTTTGAAATCAGACATTACTTGAAAGCAGGATCTCCAGGACATACTTGTTCTGGAGCCACAGCTCTGTGTGTAACATTTCAGGATGAAGGGTATGGAGCCTCTCACAGTATGGTATGGAGCCTAATCCAGTCCCACTGAAAAGGTCAAATGGAGATGCCTGAGCCTTTCACCTGAGAAGGCAAACTGCTTTCTAGATGTTAACTCAGGTTGTGAGCACTGTAAAACTCAGTTTGAATAACCTCCAGAGTATTCAACAGCTCCCATGACGGGCAGAGAGGGAGGGACAGTTTCTTCCAAGTATGAGCAGAAATCTGGCTATGTATTATTGAGTTTTATGTTCATTTGACATCAGTCAAAGTCACAGAGGGAAGGACAATCCCTTTCTAATAATGTCACTCAATATTTAGCCTACATGCATTTGTATTAATAATAAAGCCCTCAGGCAGTGAGTTATGTGCAGCCATTGATCTGCTCAAAACAGCACTGAAGTATTGACAAATACTGTTTTGGAGACAAATAAAAGCTAAATTGTATTTATATCCACCAGATTCTGACCTCTGACAAACAAGCAAACGGAACTGCACAGCCAGGTTAATGCTACCTTTGAGCCTCTCAAACCAGAAAAAAGCCAGCAGTGGATTGGTAAATGCAGATTTATTTTTAGATTTTTGTTTTTATAATTTATTTCTCTGTGTGTAGTTTGTGGGAGACTTTCCAGCTGCTTCTCTTGGAGATTTTTGTGTTAACATCTCTTTTGAAAGCAAGAGCAATGTAGCACACTTGCAAACCTGGAGATAAATACAATCTGTTTAGTTAACCTCACTGAGAATATTGGTGGAATGTTGTTCTTTTTTAAAAACATATATACAAGAGCAATTCAGAGACTTGAATTGCAGGTCCTTCCAAAGCAATTGACTACAAGACTTCATTTTATAATGCTACAAAAGATAAATGTATTTTTATTAAAGACTCTGTAAACTATACTTTCTACCTCAGAGCAAAAGATTTTCTAGCATCCTCTTTGGGAGAAAAAAAAAAGCCAACAACAACCAATCCAAAAAGCTTTCTGCACAATTACTGTTGAGCAACATTTCCCAGTCCCTATTTTGGCTTTTTCCTCTCTGCTGCTCTGCTGTTTTCTGTAATTAATACAGATAAAAAATTTTGGCGGTGCAGAATTAGGGGGTGTAATTTCTATTCAGGGCCAAAAAAGACATGCATCTCACCAAAACAACTGAGTTTATTGTTACCAAAAATTGTTTCAGGAAATCATACTTCTGTCTCTCAGAACACAAACCAGAACTCAGCATGAAGCAGACAATAACAGAGACAGGATTTTTTGCCAACACGCAGGAGCAGTGCAAGTGTCAGGGCAGGCTGATTGCTTGGGCAGAGTGTTTTGGAGAGCTCTAGGAGCAGGCCTGGAAAATGGTTAGGATCACCTTTCAAAAGCCCTTTCCTGTGCAGCTTAGAACCCTGATTTGATGGCACACTGGAAATGCATCTCCAAGAAAACTCCAAGTGGGAAAGTGTCAAATTTTCCCACTCTAACCTGTCCATCTCTGTCCATGCCTGCTTTGAAAAAAAGCCAAACCATTCATCTGCTTACCAGGGTGTCATTTAAAATGTCTCTGCACATCCCAACCTATTTAACTGAAGTTATTCTGTAAATGCCATGTGAAGTAGATAACCCCACTTATCCAGGCATCACTAGACCTTACCAACATTCCTAAAGGAAGTCAGCCAAAGTGTGCTGAGCACTGTTTTACACATGGCAGCCAGGTCAATGAAGAGAAAACTGTTTCTTCATGAGGATGCTGGTGTTGTCTGTCATGACAAGAGATGGATGCTGTGAGGCATCAT